GCGAGAATTTCTGGAACGAAAGCATAGGAAAAAGAAGCTTGAGACAGATGCAAAACTACCTCCAACTGTGTCCAAAAAGACACCATCTCAGAAAGAAAGTGTGGGCACAAAACTTAGCAAAGTTTCTGGGGACAGGCTTCATTCGTCCAAGGCAGTGTCCCTTCCTCATGCTGAGAAGAAACCCAGACCCAGCGCGGCTCATGAGAAACACTCAGCATTGTCTTCATCCAAGTCCTTCCCAGGAGAGAGGACCAAAGCAGGATCTGGCAATAACTCCCAGCCCTCGTTTCATGAGGGTCATGACAGACCTGTTTTCAATGGCGCTGGAAAGCCCCGCTCTCGCAACTATTCACCAAGTGTCCCAAAGATGGGGCTGGAAAGCCCCGCTCCAGCACCTATTCACCAAGTGTCCCAAAGACTTCTGCTAGTGGGGCTCAGAAATCTGCCACTGAGCATAAAGCCAAAAAATCTCCTCCTTCCCATCCTAGCCATTCCAGGCCTGGGCCCATGGTCACCCCACCCAATAAGGCTAAGAGTCCAGCTGTCAGGCAGCCAGGCAGCAGTTCCAGCTCAGCTCCTGGGCGGCCCAGCACAGGGTCCATGCGGCCCCCAGTTAGTTCTGGCCCTGTGCCCAGGCGCCAAAATGGCAGGTGCACCTCCGGCCTCAGGACCTGAGCGATCAGTCAGTGGGACCAAGAAGCCTGTGAATGACTCAAATCCTTCTGGGCGGACAGTCAGTGGAATGAGTGGCCCTGGACGACCTGCAAGCAGCTCAAGTGGCCCTGGGCGGCCGATTAGTGGCTCAGGTGGTTCTGGGAGACCTGTGGGAAGCTCTGGAGATCCTGGACGACCTGTCAGCAGTTCACCTGACCTTCGACGACCAATGAGTGGCCCGGGCACCCCTAGGCGCTTTGTCAATGGCCCTGAGCGATCTGTCAGTGGCTCAGTTCCAGCTGGACGGACTGTCAATACTTCAGGCCCTGGAAGACCAGTGAGCAGCTTGGGAGCTGGGCGAACAGTTATTAGCTCAGGCACCCCCATAAAGCCCAAGTGCACCGTTGTCTCAGAAACAATTTCTTCTAAGAATATAATTAGCCGGTCTAGCAATGGACAGATGAATGGACTGAAGTCCCCCCTGTCTGGCTACAGACCTGCCCCAGGTAAAATTGCCCCTCACCCCAAAGAATATGTATTTGTCACTATGGACTGGAAACTGGGACGAGTTGTTTCATATAACCAGGGACGTGGTGAACCCTTCCATGTGCCCTTTACTGTGCTTTGGTATCAATAGATGCTTTATCTGCCCTGTTCCTTTAACAATCACAGCTTGGAAAAGCTTTTAGAAAGAGACTGAGGATATACTATTCACCCCTGCAATATTCCCAAGTACAAAAATCAGACTTTGTGGTTTGTGAGGTAGTGTGGATGTGCTTGCCTTATGTATATGGTTTAATTGTTACCTTTTCATGAGGACTAAAGAGATTTCTCTTAAAGGGTCAGAGCAATATCGTAATTGAAGCCTTTTGTACATTAAATATCCATTACATGTCAGGAACTATTTTAGATTGCCCTTGCATTTCTGTTCCTTGTAATGGGTAGTATCAAGTTCCTAACCGCTGATCCTTTACCGTCTCTAGGTACAGGATCACTGATGGCACCTGCTAATTGCTAGGTCACTGTGGCTTCATGCCAATAGACATTTGTTCCAGCTCTTGGTAGGCACGATGGAGAATCTATAGAGAGACCAGCGATTAAATTCTTTATTTTTCTTATTTTTTAGAGGTTTTTGCTATAGGGCACATGCTCTCGCCAGA